GGGGGGAATCTAGTAACTATTACTCCTCCATGGCCTCAGCTTCAGTTCCTGCCTCCAGGTTCCTGTTTTGGCTTCTGCTGATGATAGTCTGTAACCTGTAAGCCATACAATAAAATAAACCCTTTTCTCCCCAAGTTGCTTTTGGTCATGGTCTTTATACCAGAAATAGAAAACAGACTAAGACAATGAATATAACATTATATGAATACCTGGTAGTTTATTTACAGCTTGGAGGAGACTGATTGTCTCCAGCTTGGGTGGTTATGAGTAAAGCTGCCACAGATATTTGTGTGCAAAGTTTTGTGCCTGGGTGAGTTTTAGTTTCTCTGGGGTTTCAGTGCCTACATGTGAGATCTCCAGGTCACATAATAAGTGCATGTGTAACCCTGTAAGAAACTACCATTCCGTTTTATGTTGTTTGCAACAGCACATGAGATTGCCATGTTTCCCAACCATATCATCACTTGGCTGTCCACATTCTAACAAGTGCATAGAGGTATCTCATCAGGTTTAAAATAATTGTGATTAGTATATACTAATTATGAGGCGGGCGGGTTATTATGACACTCTCCTTTATCTCACAATGAATTCTGTTTGTATTTCTGTTATCTTGTGACGCTGATCCTCTTACCCTCTGTACACCCTTTTTGAAAACGTTATCTGTTTAAGTCTTCCACTTTCCTTTAAAGACAGGGTCTCAGTATGTAGCATTATAGCCCATATGCTGGCCTGAAGCTTGCAATCCTCCTGCCTCAGCTCCCCAAGTGCTGATTCCTATAGAGTTTTAAAGTCCTTTATATATTCACCAGTCCTATATTGTTTAAAAATTCACATGTATTTTGCTTCAGGTTGTGTCTTAATTGTCTTCCATTGCTTTTCTGTTTGTGTGTTATCTGGGAGTGGAGCCCAGAACCTAGGACACACTAGGCTAGTGGTCTGCCACTGTACCACGTTTCCAACAACACACTAAGACACTAGGCTAGTGCTCTGCCACTGTACCACGTTCCCAACAACAAACACACTAGGACACTAGGCTAGTGCTCTGCCATTGTACCACGTTTCCAGCCCTGACAACATTTGAGCAAAGCTGGGGTCGGAATGTGTGTGCTCTTCTGACATGGTCTTCTATGATGGGGGCTTTCATTTTCCAGTGTTATTTAAAACACATCTCACGTTACTGGTTCTCCCCCATGTGCTTGTGACGCCTGCAGAGTAACATTCATTGACAACTGTGGTGCCACAATTACTCAGCAAACCCCTTTGTTGCCCAAGAATACCAGAAAAGAGTGCTGTTGCTTTGGAACTGGAGTTGCAGAGGGCTATGAGACACCATGTGGTGTGCTGGGGATTGAACCTGGGTCCTCTGCAGGAGCAACAAGTACTCTTAACTGCTGAACCATCTCTCCACTGCCTTCACCTCATTTTTAAAGGTACAGTCTCATGTATCCCAGGCTGGCCTCAGATTCACTATGTGGATGACGATGACATTAAATTTCTGATCCTGCTGCCTCCTCTTCCCAAATGCTGGAATTACTGGTGTGATCCACTGAGCCCTGTTTATACACGACTGGGGATTGGACTCAGGGCTTCCTCAGTGCTAGGCAAACACTCTTCCTGCCACCTGAACCACGTGCACAAACTTTAACTTTGCTTTCCTGGTGTATTTTCTGTATCTTATTGGTCTTTTTAAAAGTATGCCCGTTTTAATTGCAGTAACACTCTGGATGAATGCTTGCTAAATACTCTTCCTCGTTTTGTCTTCTGTGCATTTTTTTCCTTGTGGCACTTGCTGAGGAACCCAGTTCCCTTTATCTGCAATGTGAAGGCCGCTGATAGTGCTGCTTTTATCACTGTGTTCTAATGATGGCCCACAGCAGCAGTGGAGTGTGGCTAATGTGGACGTGAGGTCCTAAAATCAGCTCATTGGCCTTCAGTGTGCTGGGCAGCCACCCACGCTATGTGGTAGCACACATTGTCTCCGGCAGGGTTCTGTTGCTATGAAAAGACTCCATCACCATGGCGAGTCTAACAAAGGAAAGCATTTAACTGGGGCTTGCTCATGGTTTCGTAGGTTTAGTTCATGGTTGTTACAGTGGGGAGCATGGTAGCACACAGGCAGACGGGGTAACTGAGAGTTCTATGTGCAGATCTGAAGGCAGCAAGAAGTGAGAGAAAGGGCACTGCATCTGACTTGGGCTTCCGAATCCTCAAAGCCCCCTCCCAATGAGATACTTCCTCCAACAAGGTCACATCTCCTAATCCACCTCAAGCACCATCATGCCCTAATGGCCAAGCATTCAAATATATGAGTCTCTGGGAACCACTCCTATTCAAACCACCCCACACAATGAACTTAAGAACCCTCTCAAGGGAGGATGTGGGGTAAAGGGAACACTCCTGCATTGCTGGTGGGAGTACAAGCTGGTACAGTCCCTTTGGTAACAGTGTGGTGATTTCTCAGAAAATTAGGAAACAACCTTTCCCAAGACCCAGTAATACCACTTTTGGGTATATAGCCAAAGGATGCTCAATCATACCACAAGGCTATATTCTCAACTATGTTCATAAAAGCATTGTTTGTCATAACCAGAACCTGGAAACAACCTAAATGCCCTTCAACTGAAGAATGAATAAGGAAAAAATGTGGTACATTTACACATGGAGTACTACACAGCAGAAAAAAGCGACATCTTGAAATTTTCAGGCAAATGGATGGAGCTGGAAAACATCATTTTGAGTGAGGTAACCCAGACCCAGAAAGAAAATTACCACATGTACTCACTCATAAATGGCTTTTAAACATAGAGCAAAGAAAACAAGCCTACAAATCACAATCCCAGAGAACTTAGACAACAATGAGGACACTAAGAGAGATTTACATAATCTATATGGGAAGTAGAAAGTAGAAAAAGACAAGAGTAAATTGGGAGTATGGGGACCTTGGGGGAGGGTTGAAAGGAGAGGGGAGAGGCAGGGAGGGAAGCAGAGAATAATGTAGAGCTCAATAAAAATCAATAATAAAAAATAAGATAAATCACTTATAAATCAGTAAAAGCAGTCCCAGTCTGACATTGAGTGTGGGCATTAATTCAGGGGTCTGATAGTTTTAGATGCATCAAGAAAAAGATGGGACCAGGTGGTGATAGTGTCTAAGCAGCACACAAAACTCTGAACATTATCCAAAGCACAAATGATCAACAAACACCATCCCTTGTAGGCTGCTGCTTTTGGATCAATCACAGTGGCAGCCTTGGGCTCATCTGCCTTCCATTTGGATCAGATGTGTTTCTTACCATCAGTGTTACTTACTGTAGCTGGGCAAATTCCAACACTCAGCCTCAGATTGGAGTAGACTTTTAAGTGGCATACGGTTTGTCTTATTAGTCAGTCAAAGGATAATAATGTCAGAACTCTTAAAAATTACACCTAGGGCTGGGCGGTGGTGGCGCACGCCTTTAATCCCAGCACTCGGGAGGCAGAGGCAGGCGGATCTCTGTGAGTTCGAGGCCAGCCTGGTCTACAAGAGCTAGTTCCAGGACAGGCTCCAAAGCTACAGAGAAACCCTGTCTCGAAAAAAAAAAATTACACCTATTTCCTGACAAGAGCCCCTTAAAGAATTCCCCAAGACCGTGCAGCTCAGGCTCAAATCCTGAAAGCCATCTCTAAGAGCCCTTCTTCAGTCTGAAGCTGCAGCAACACAGTTCCAGGATGTTCCAGAAGGCTGGAGGCCTTGACGCTGGGGATCTTTCCTCAGTTACGCTGTTTCTCACAGGCATTTTGTCACAGAAATGTGAAACAACACTAACACTGGGATCATTCTTTATATCTTTGTTTTGAGACACGTTCTAGCTAAACAGGTAGTCCAAGCTGACTTGGAACTCACTCTGTAGACCATAGTGGCCTTATTCACACAGATCCGCCTGCCTCTGACTCCCAAGTGTTGGGATTAAAAGTGTGCGCCACCGCGTCCCGCCCCATTAAAGATCTCATAACTTGACACTGACCTCTCTGGTCAGTGTTTATAGTTTATTTGTTCAAAGCCAGGTTTACTTCCAAGTTATACTATAGAGAATGGATTTTCTTTTACCAACAACTAGAAATTAGCAATTTGAGAGAAGACATATTTATTCATGTTTTTATGCGTGTGGGGGCTTGCTGTGGGATAATGGTCTGTACCTTCTCACTTGTATTTTTAAATAAACAGTGATTAGCCAGTAGGTAGGCAGGAAGTAGAGGCAGGGCAATGAAAACAGGAGAATTCTGGGAAAAGGAAAGAATCAGTATGCCGTTGTCACCCAGAAAGAGAGGAAGCCAGACACAGGGCAAGCAAGATGTGACTGCCTCGCCGAAAAAGGTACCAAGTCACGTGGCTAACACAGACAAGAATAATGGGTTAATGTAAGATATAAGAATTAATTAATAAGAAGCTTGAGCTATTAGGCCAACCAGTTTATAATTAATGTAGACCTCTATGTGCTTCATTGGGACTGAACAGTTGAGGGATCAGGCAGGACAGAAACCTCTGGTCAACAAGGGCATCACAGAAAATAAATGAAAACCAAAAGAAGCAGCTGTCCTTATGAGAATTCTGCTGTTAACAAGCACACTGTATAGACGTAGGTAGTTAGGAAGGGTTTGATCCAAGAGCACACTGTGTAGATGTGAGTAGTTAGGAAGGGTTTGATCCAACAGCACACTGTGTAGACGTGGCTGTACATTGGGACAGCAATGAAGAATTGTGGCAGATTAGAGTTGATGGCTAGAGTTTATTAGGAAGATTTTTCTCGGTTGAGAATCTTTCTGGTTAGAAAAAGTACTGGTTCTCTTTGCCAAATAATTCATCTCCTGCTTGCTACTGGTGTGTGTGTGTGTGGGGGTGTGTGTGGTGTGGTGTGTGTTCTAGAGGTTGGACCTAGGACCGAACACTAACACATGCTAGGCAAGCACTACACCACTAACCCTGACCCCATCTTTTTTTGTCGTTTGTTTTAACTTCTTAGGACACAGCCGGCGGTGGTGGCGCACGCCTTTAATCCCAGCACTCGAGAGGCAGAGGCAGGCAGATCTCTGTGAGTTCGAGGCCAGCCTGGTCTACAAGAGCTAGGACAGGCACCAAATACTACAGAGAAACCCTGTCTCGGGAAAAAAAAAAAAAAACCTTCTTAGGACACAGCCCATTAAGTTGCCCAAGCTGTCTCTGGAACTCAAGGATCTGCAGCTTGGGCAGTTCTTGGACTTCTGATCCTTATCACGGCTTCCCAAGGAGACAGGGTTAAGGCCCAGCCCATCCGGCTCCACTCCTACTTCTATAAAGGTAAATCTCTATTCTGCTTAGACGAAAGAGGAAGATGGTCCCTGCACACTAAGTTTCGGTTGCCTTTAACCCAGACTCGTCTTTCTGCCCAAATGGTATATCTTGGGTATGATATTCTGATGACATACTCTGTCAGGAAATGAATGACAATCCATTTTTGGTTTCTTTTTCCTCCTTCTAGAAAAATCTTGAAGATGCGTTCATTTACAGATGTGTAGCTAATAATATATATTGCACACTTCTTTCAACTGTAAGCCATTTTCTTATCAATTTACACTTGACACCTGAGGAGGAGGATCAGATAATATGTGTGTGCCCCACGTACTATTTAGTCACTGGTCATCTGAAATCAGAACGTTTGACATGACATGGTTATCTGTACATTTACTTGCTAAATCTGGCCGTTCTAATCATTCAATGTGAGAAACTTAGAAAAAATGGACGTCTAAATTATCTCAACAGAGAAAAGTGGTGAAAAGAGGAATTCTGGATTTTTATTTAACGGTGGTAAACTGTACATAATAAAATTTATGCGTTTAACCATTCTGAGTGCAAAGCTCGGCGGCTGCTATGTTGAATTGTGCAGCCACTACTTAATCGCCCCCACACATTTTCCATCATTCTGGACCGAAACTCCGTGTCCATTAATAAAAATACCCTTCCCTTTCCTCAGCTTCTCCGAATTGACAACTGCAGTGTGCAGCATGGGAGAAAATCACATTCCTCAGGTTTTGCTCCAGCCAGAGTCATCAGTAGTCTGAGGAAAAGAGCATCACCAACCGTGAGGATAACGCAGAGGAACTTTCCCTTTATCCTAGTTTCGAAGGGAACTCTTCACTCCAACAGTGCTCACCAACCTGGAGCTCCCCAGCCCTGGATCGACCCGCCCCGCCCCGTCCCCTGGTAACCTAGGGAACCGCGGGGGAAGCGTTACTCGGAGGAGACCGGATCCGGAAGTAGGGGTCTACCAACCAAAAGGCGGCCAGGCGCGGTGACGTGTCAAAATAAAGAAATAGGTGTTGGTGCTCGAGCTCTGCGTGCGCCCTGTCAGCGCTCTGGGCCATCGTTTGTCCCGAATCCCGATACCGTTTCTGTTCTCTAAGACTCCGTTTGCCGTTTTTGTTTTTCCCCTGTTTACTTTGCCCAGAGTATGACAGTGGCGGGGACTGGAGGGAAAAAGCCCACAAGTCACCGTGGTTTCAGCATGACGGAGTAGCCCAGGCCACCACCGTGGAAGCTGTTCTCCGTCTTAGGCTTGCTTGCTCTGTGAAAGAGGGCAGGTTAAATGCATCTGGAAAACTTAAGATTTTAGCGTCGAAAGCCTGCCACTCTAAATTCAGATCTAGAGCCTATGTCGTCCGGCCATCAGGACCGTGCAATTTCTAGCTAGCTTCGTCTTCGGTTCTCTAGGCCCGGATTATAGAGGTGGGAATTGCCGACACCAGGCCCCTGCGCCCGTGGGAAGTGAGACAGCGAACAAATGAACACATTCCCAAAATGGATTTTGTGGGGCACCGGTGGAATCGAGGAACAACCACTTAATTCCTCTCACACGTAGAAGCAGAGGAGACCCACACAGTGGCCTGGGGGTAGTTCTGAGCTTGGGGACCACCAAAGGACTCAGTCTACAATTCGGTAGCCCCGTGAACAGCATGTGGGCTATAGGGAATGAGGTTTGAGGCAAAGGTGCTACTATCTGAGGTGGAATAGTAATGACAAGGTTGGGGCAGAAGCTGCGACAGTGAAGGTCAAAGTTTGGTAGTGTCAGAAAAATAAGTAATGGGAAGTTTGGTAGTATCAGAAAAATACGTAAGCCCCCTTTTGTTGTTGGAGACAGCAGCTGCTTCTTTCCACAGTGGAAGCTGTCATGACCCGCCCAGCCCAAAGTTCAGTCTGGTGTTGTATTGTAGAGAGGGCGTGTGTGGACACACTTAACGGCTCCGTGTGTTGTAAAAATAGTCAGCATCTCCCGGAAGAACTATATTCCTAGGTTTTTTTCACTTCCTCGTTCCCACTCGGTTGGAAGAGCATCCTTTTGTTTTCTCCCTACTTCCCTTTCTCCCTGACTGAACTCGCTGACTTCAAGGGTCCCACAGCTAGGTCGTAGCGCGCTCAGCCGTGCAAACCGCTTTGCTGTTAGCTCTTTCTGGTTTGCGTCCGTGACTTTCTACAGGGTGCTAGATCCATTGAAAGTCAGGTTGGTTATAAACCTTCCTTGGGGGGGAAATATGTGCATACCCACAAGGATTTTGATAGCCCATGAGTTTACCTGTTTTCTGAACCCGCCCTTTCTTAATCTTGGGGATTACGGTTATGCAGGGCTGCTAATGTTTGCTTTACACTCGAAAATGACGCACTTCGGGGAGGAGTTCGATTGAAGTCTAAAGCTCCACCGGGCGGGAGGGGACAAAGGCTTTTATGGAAAAATTATTTACTCCCTGAAAAATATTCGAACTTTCCCTCGTCCACCGACTCGGTCTCCACCAGAAGTACTTATTGGTTCATCAGTCCCGAGCCGAGCACCCGAGAAGCGCCAGGTGGGACTCCGAAACCGGACCGTGAGAGCCAGAAGCGCGCAGCCGGAAGTCGCCCCAGCCGGAGAGCTGGAAACCCGGAACGCGGATCTCTTTCCCCCGTCCCGCCCCGCCCGGAAACGGCCCGCTGCGCTGGCGGCGCCCGCACTGGGCATGTGCACGCGGCGCCGCGCATGCTCCGTGGAGGCCCGCTTCGGTTTCCGTCGCGGGGCCCGCGGCGTCTCGGAGCGCAACCGGAACTAGCCGTTGCGGGCCGGCCTTCTCCGCGCTTGGGCCTGCAGGTGATCTCCGAGCCCCCCGGCCCCCTCCGCCCTCGTCGTCCCCCTCGGTTCGGCCGCCGTCCTCTCGCAGCCGCCGGCATGAGCGCCAGGCCGTCCGCGTCGCCGCCCTTGCCGGGCCCGCGGCTGTTGCTGCTGTTGCTGCTCCTGCTGGGGACGGTCCCGGGCCCGCACCCGGGCAGCGCCTTCTACCTGCCCGGCCTGGCGCCGGTCAACTTCTGCACCGAGGAGAAGAAGACCGACGAGTGCAAGGTGGGGAAGGCCCGGCGGGCCGCCCGCGGAGGGGGCGTAGCTGTGGGTGGGGTCGCGTTCCGGAGCGGCGGCGGGCGGGCAGGGCAGGCGGTGCGGGCAGGGCAGGCGGTGCGGGCAGGGGCCGTGCCCCCTCGGGCCGCTTTCCCAAGGTGCTCTGAGCGCTCAGGCGACCCGTCCCCCTCGTCCCCGCCAGGTCGCAGGCACTGCTCCGGCGGCGAGCCGATCGCCCTTGGAGTGGCCTGCACGCAGCTCCCGGGGTGACCTGCCGCTCACCCCGTGGGGCGCTCCCAGCCGAGCGACAACTTAGAGTAACTTTTCCTTGTATGACTTCCCGTGTCATTGTATTTTTCTGGAATTCCTGGTTACGACGACTTATTCTTTCTAGGACTTTCTAGGTCTCACTTGAAGATTAGCAGTCGTTTACTTAACCTGTGGATCGTGACACCTCCTCTCATCAAAACTGCGTTAGTAAAGACTAGTTATCGAGACGCTTAATTCCTGGCCTTTAAATGTTATTTTTAAAAATCTCTGTAAACATATTTAAGAGACCCCAAGTGGGTTTCTCCGAGATAGTTTTAAATACTTTAAAGAGGCATACGGCGAAAGAATCCGTCTTGAAAGTGTTGGCTTCGTAGAACATTGGCCTACAAGTTTTTCGGTTTACCAGCTGATAGCGGTTTTTATGTTATTAGGTGTAGAGCATCACAATATACCATTATTTCGTTAAGTTACTGAAACTTAACCGTTTGCAGGATCGAGGCTCTCCTTGAAACCTTTCATTTCAAATAATAGTTGAGAAAACGTTTACAGTCTGCAGTTGGCTCATTTACTAACTTTTTAAAGCTGGTGTTTATTTTATGACTGTTAGCTTTACCGCAGTTGTGCGTTAGGGAGGCTCTTAAAGTTTTCACTGCATTTTGCTGTTTCTAGGTTTAAATGTGTCAGCTACGCAGTGTCGCACAATCACATCAGTTTTCAAAAGAAACAGCCTGTGAGTGAGTGTGTGATGTCTTCATAGTGTCTCGGAAAGGAAAGTATCTTCCCAGCCTCTCCAGCCACCGCTGGAGAATAGAAGCTTATGAAGAGATCGATGAGGTCTGATGTGGAAGGTGTGTGTCCACGTCCCTAAAGAACAGACGAGGGAGCGTTTGGGACGAGATGAGTGTGAAGGAATTTATAGGTGGTCTGTAAGCAAAATGATTTTTTTTTTCTCTCACGAGGTCCTTAAGTATCTTTGTGGAAAGTTTTCAGGTCCTTTGAGAATTTTAGCTTTGATAGATGTGGGGATAAACTAGGCAAGACATCACATCCTGGATGTCGGATCTTCAGCTGCTCTGTGTTGGCCAATAGGAACAAGGGCGTGTTGCTGGTCTCCCCCAGCTTGTCGGTGAGAATTTAAGCTTCTTCCCTTTTCTCTCACTGGGGAGGTATTCTGCATAGTGAAATTTTTATTACCTCAGTTAGGATGGCAACTGCTTGTTTTGAGTACCCCTTCCCTCTCTTCCTGACAGATTTATTTCACAGTTGGGAGGCTGGAAAGCTAAGGTTTAGGTGCCCACTCAGGGTCTGGTGAGGGTTCATCATCTTCCTGGTCTGTATGCAGGTGTCTTCATGTGGGAAGAATGAAAGAGCTTCTTTAGGCCTCTTCGAGGACAGTAAACCTTGGTGGGCGTGCCCTGCCCAGACCTGGTCATCCCCTTCATAGTACCTTTACCTGAGGGTCTTCGTTTCAGCGCAGGAATTGGGACAGGAGAGCGGAAGGTGGAGACCATCCATCCTGCGTTTCTTAAGAGGACAGAGGGACTTATTTAAACATCAGAAGTGAACAGAGAAGCCTTCGATACTGTTCTCTTACATAATTCTGCTTTTTCTGCTTTGTAGCACAGGGACAGTCGTGTTTGCCTCTTATGTTTGACTGAGAGGAAGCATCGTCTTTGCACTGATGTGTGCAGAGTGAGGCAGCTGTCGCCCCGTGGAGCACGTGCAGAATGGCCCTCCAGTCCTCGTCCTGCATTCTCTCAGGATGGATTTTGAGATTGAGGATGTGGATACTTTGTCGACTTAAAATTGTTGTATAAGCCTTGTGGCTGGGCACACCGTTAATCGCAGAGGCAGAGACAAGCTCATCTCTTGAGTTTAAGGCCAGTCTAGCTACATAATGAGTTCCAGGGCCTCCGGGGCTGTGAAGAGAGACCTTGTCTTAACAACAGCA